GCAGAGAGCCAAGATCATGCCACTGCACTTCAGCCTGGCCAACAGAGCGAGACTCCATTTCATGAAACTGGGCAGTCCCTGCAGAGGTTGCTCTGGCTGGCGTGGCTCAGGATGGAGGGTGGGGAGTTTTGTGCCAGGCAGGAGGAACTGAGGCAAGCCAGATGTGTCTCCAAAATGCAAGAGCCACAGAGTACAAAGGGCAGGGCCGGATATGACCTCCCACCGGCCTGGCTGGGAGTCCACTTGCTGGGACTTGGTCTCCTGTAATGGGTGGGGAAGTGGCACCCTGTGCGGTAGACAGAACCAGCAGCAGCCTAGGTGCCCATGGCTTTGGTCTGGTGGCAAGACAGGCATTCTGACCTCCCTGCCTCAGTGTCCCCTAAGGTCAGAACACCTGTCCTGTTGGAGCCGGCTCTGAGCAGGATGGTGCCATGTGTCTCGTGGGGTGGTTGTGTTTAGGTCAGCCCAGAGGTGGCGTCTGGCTGGGACTAGGTGAGCAAGAGGCTTGTTGGGAACAGTAAACCTGAGTGGTGAGTGAGGCCTGCAGCGCCCAGCAGATGAGGAGAGAAGGAGGGAGGGTGGCAGGAGTTGTTGCTACTGCATGAGGCTCGGTGGGCCTGCAGGGAGCAGATGACCCTCACTGGCGCCCTTGGCTTTTCACTGAACAGGGTATTAGCCTAGGGTATTTCCCAGCGCAGGCTCCAGGCCTCTCCCAGGTCGCCGCTCTGTGCCTGCAGGGGCTCCTCCCCCTGCCCTGCCCCACCCTGTTACCCACTTGCCCTGGCTCTGCCTGGAAAATTGAGACCTTCTAGGCCAAGGGCACCGTCCCCAGGATCCTGACACCTGTCCCTCCTCTGAGAATCCAGACCTTTTCCAGAGCCACATCCTGGGGCCAGGAGGGCTCCGTGTGGTCAGTGGCTGTGAGTTGCTGGGAACAAGACACTCGGCTGACTGTGCTTAGAGAACAGGCCACTGTTTGGCTCTAAACGGTTTCCATGGGGACGCCATTTCAGTCTTCTGAAACTTTTCCTCTCCTGTATTGCAGACAGTCCTGTTCTGACGTGCACAGTTTGCCGCCAGGTGTGGAGCCTGCGGGGTGGGTGGGTGCCTCCCTCCTCGGCAGGTCAGAAGGTCCCACGGGTGCCCGCCACAGGCACCCAGTGGAAGGACCAGCTTGGAGCCACCTCTGATGGAAGAGCCCCGCTCTCTAGAGGCCCCAGCTCTGTGTGTGGCCAGCGCGGTCCCCAGGCTCCTCTTGGCACCCCCACCCCTCTTGGCACCCCCAGGCTCCTCTTGGCACCCCCACCCCTCTTGGCACCCCCAAGCTCCTCTTGGCACCCCCACCCCTCTTGCAGCAGCCCGGGCTCCTGCTGGGCCTGGACTACGGCGCCATCTAGGGGTGGCCTAGGGGAGTCCCATGCCTTCAGCATCCATCCTGCAGGTGTTTCTGGTGCCCACCTGCCTGGCCGGATTGGCACGTGGAGTTGACTGTCAAGGACAAGCAGCCACTACCTTTGTGGGAATTGCTGTGTCCAACCTTGGCCTCTCAGGCCAGCCTCATGGGGGTTGCAGTGGCCAGGACCTAAAGGACCAAGGCCCCTCCATCCATGCATCCTGCTTGACAGAACCCACAAGAGGAGGGAGGTGTGGGAAGGGTGTGGACGGCATGAGCGTGGTTCCTCCCTGAAGAGTGTTGTTTCACTTGTGAGTAGGCACAGGACACCTGCCCTCGCCTTTTAGAACCATGTACATACATGCAGCATGCAGCCTGGCGTTGGAACCATTCTTAGAGCACAGTTCAAGGCCAGGCTCAGTGTCTCATGCCTATGATCCCAGCATTTTCAGAGTCCGAGGTGGGTGGATCACAAGGTCAGGAATTCGAGACCAGCCTGGCCAATATGGTGAAATCCTGTCTCCACTAAAAATATAAAAATTTGCTGGATGTGGTGGTATGTGACCGTAATCCCAGCTATTTAGGAAGTTGAGGCAGGAGAATTGCTTGAACCCAGGAGGTGGAGATTGTAGTGAGCCAAGATCAATGCCACTGTACTTCAGCCTGGGTGAAAGAGGGAGACTCCATCTTAAAATAAACAAACAAAAAAAGCACAGTTCAGCAGCACGCAGCACACTCCCAGGTGGGGCCGGCTTCCCCACGCTCGTCGGAGCTGCAGCTGCCCTTTTCCCTGTGGCTGGGTTGCGGTGTGGTGGTGGCTTTGTGTTTTTCTGCTGGATGATGCTGTGGAATTCCTTTTTTTTTTTTTTTTTGGTATTTTTAAGTAGAGACTGGATTTCATCGTGTTGGCCAGGGTGGTCTTGATTTCCTGACTTTGTGATCCGCCCGCCTCAGCCTCCCAAAGTGCTGGGATTACAAGTGTGAGCCACCGTGCCTGGCCTGGAATTCCTTTTCACATACTTCTTGGCCATCGGTATATCTTCTTTGGGGAAATGTCTATTCAAGTCCTTCACCCTTTTTTTAAAGTATAATTTCCACATTTTTTCCCTCAGAGGATAGTTCGTCTTCAGTCCTCAAGGGCTCAACTCCTTATGTGGGCCTTGGTGGGGGTCGTGGGTACCACCCAGCTCTGGACTTGGGTGGAGTGTGTGGCCGTGGACCTGAGGAGCAGGATTCCTGACCGGCTTGCTGTGAAGGGCCGCACTGCGCAGTGATGCAGCTTCACATGAGCTTAGGAGGCATGCGGGCAACACAGACACTGCAGCCTCTACTGCATCCCTGATGATGAATTGCTTAACGGTGGTGTACCTGGACACGCGTGAGGCGCAGTGCCTGCGGCGATGGGCTGCCCACGGCCGTGGCTCTTTTTGGCACAACATTTTTCCTTCTTGTCCAGGAAACAAGGACCAGAGAGAGACCATCGTCCGTTCTAAAATCAGGATGTGTGGTTTTCTGTTGTTGAGTTGGAGTTCTTTGTGGACTCTGGATATCAGTCCCTAGGAGACGTGTGGTCTGCAGACATTTCCTTCCATCTCTGGGTTGCATTTTTCTCTCTGTTGATGGGGTCCTTTGATGCATGAGAGCAGGCTTTGATGTGCAGTTAGGAGTTGGCCAGGCAGAAGGATGGTGTGAGTGGAAGCACTGATGCCTGAAGAAGGGTGCCGGAGGGAAAGAGGCTGCATGGTCGGCTCGTAAGGGTGGGCCCCACACGGAGAGACAAATGTGCACAGACACAGGCACACTGTGCAGGTGCGCTCCGTGGGAGGGCTTCACTTATGTTTACAAAGTGCCCATTTCCAAGCCCCCTGGGAGAAAGTGTTATAAAAAGGCAGAACAGGCCGGGTGTGGTGGTTTATGCTTGTAATCCCAGCACTTTGTGAGGCCGAGGTGGGCGAATCACAAGGTCAGGAGATCAAGACCATCCTGGCCAATATGGTGAAACCCTGTCTCTATTAAAATACAGAAAAATTAGCTGGGCACGGCAGCACACACCTGTAGTGCCATCTATTAGGGAGGCTGAGGCAGGAGAATCGTTTGAACCCAAGAGGTAGAGATTGCAGTGAGCTGAGATTGCACCACTGCACTCCAGCCTGGGCAACAGTGCAAGTCTCCATCTCAAAAAAAAAAAAGGCAAAACATGATTACAGGGGTGGCTCACCCCTGTAATCCCAGCAGTTTGGGAGGCTAAGGTGGGTGGATCCTGAGGTCAGGGGTTCGAGACCAGCCTGACCAACATGGTGAAAGCCCGTCTCTACTTAAAAATACAAAAATTAGCCAGGTGCGGCGTGTACCTGTAATCCCAGGTAGCTGGGAGGCTGAGGCACAGTAATTGCCTGAACCCAGGAGGTAGAAGTTAGTGAGCCGAGAGCTTGCCATTGCACTCCGGTCTGGGCGACAGAGCAACACTCCATCTACAAAAAAAAAAAAAAAAAAAAAAAAGATGTTGTGTCTGTCTTAAGTGTCCAGAATTGTCTGTTCCTTTCAATTTTTCTTAAACTGACTTTTTCCCATAAAACTGTAAAAAAATAAAAAGTAATGATGTGGGGCGGGCACCGTGGCTCACACCTGTAATCCCAGCACTTTGGGAGGCAATGGTGGGCAAATCACCTATGGTCAGGAATTCATCACCAGCCTGGCCAACATGGGGAAACCCCATCTCTACTACAATTAGAAAAATTAGCTGGGTGTGGTGACAGGTGCTGGTAATCCCAGCTACTCAGGAGGCTGAGGCGGGAGAATCATTTGAAACCAGAAGGCGGAGGTTGCAGTGAGACCGTGCCATTGCACTCCAGCCTGGGTAACAGAGCAAGACTCTGTCAAAAAAAACAAACAAACAAAAAAAAACCAGAAAATACCCAGGGAAATTGGCCAAAACACAATTAAAACAACAACAACAACAACAGCAAAAAAGAAAAAGTAGCGAGGTGGTCGGCAGGCTGGTGGCTGTCCGGGGTCAGTCCTGAGCAGCAGCGTTTTTAAACTTGCTCGGCCCTCCCCGGTGCTGGCATGCTGCACTTGTCAGTTCCTGGGCTCTGCAAACCAAGACTTGGAAACACATTCGCCTTCGAGAGTTCAATTTCAAAATGCATACCAAGTAGGTCAGGCTGGAAATAAGGCACTGCCCTTTCTCCAGACACGCTGGAGTCCACATCCTGCCTTTGCCCAGTGCCCTCTGAGGGAGAGGCCCTATGCCTGGCACCTGGTGCAGGCCACAGGTGGAGGGAGGCCCCGTTCCTGGCAAGCCGTGCCCATGGAGAGGCTGGCCTGGCAGGCCGTGGGGCCCCAATGGCCTGACCCCGTTCCGATCATGCTTCTGCTCTGCCCTGCCCTGCTTTGCCCGTGGCCCGTGTGCAGAAGTGGGCAGGCCTAGGTTGCTGGGCCAGAACCCCGAGATTGCCCCTTGTCCCACTGGCCGAATGTGGGGGGAGCTGCTTCTCCACATCCTCTGCATGGGTCTCGGCCCTGCAAGGCGGGTGGCCGAGGCTGGTCTCCAGGGCACTTGCTCCAGGAATGGCACGTCCCCTCAGTGCTCTGTGCTTCCTCCCAGGGATCGACTACAAGACCACCACCATCCTGCTGGACGGCCGGCGCGTGAAGCTGGAGCTCTGGTGAGTCGGGGCTGCAGCACTTCAGTTCCGGGGTGGGGACACCAATGCCGAAGGAAGGTTGGAACCTTAGAGAAACAGGAAGGTATCCTGTTTACATTTCACTTGGAAGAGCCACTTACACAGCCCCTGTTTAAACATAGAATGGATTTTGCTCCAAGAGGCAAAAGGCAAAAGTTCGGGGCAGTGTTCCCAGAGATCCCAGCTTCCTTTCTGCCCCAGAGGACCTGATTCCATGGTGGCTGTGGGCCCCTTCCCTCCCCTTCTGCTGGCTTCACCTTAAAGAGCATTTCCTGGCTGGGCACGGTGGCTCACCCCTGTAATCCCAGCACTTTGGGAGACAGAGGAGGACGGATCACTTGAAGTCAGGAGTTCGAGACCAGCCTGGCCAACATGGTGAAACCCTGTCTATACTAAAAATACAAAAGTTAGTCAGGTGTGGTGGGCACCTGTAATCCCAGCTACTTGGGAGGCTGAGGCAGGAGACTTGCTTGAGCCCAGGAGATGGAGGTTGCAGTGAGCAGAGATTAAGTCACAGTTCTTCAGCCTGGATGACAGAGTGAGACTCTGTCTCAAAAAAAAAAAAAAATGCATTTCCCAGAACTTGAGTGTTGAGATGTAAATTCCCACAGGGGTGGGGTTCCCCAGCCTGTCAGGACAGTTTCCTGGGGCTCCCGGGTTCATTTGGGGAGCTCGCTCACTCACCAGGTAGGCAGAGGCTCCTTCTGCTGCCTGCCTGGCTCAGCGGCATGGTGCCAGGCTGCTGTGACCTGTGCAGATGATGCCCCTTAGCACAGCCCCATTGAACCTGTCCCAGCTGCCCACTCCCCTCAGGACATCTGGGGGGCAGGGAGACGAGGCCAGGAGGTGAGCCTCTCACAGGGACCACAGTGCAGGCGTGGAGGCTGCACTGCCGTGGCCCCTGCCCATCCCCTCCCCATGTGTTTCAGGGACACGTCGGGCCAGGGCCGCTTCTGCACCATCTTCAGGTCCTACTCCAGGGGCGCTCAGGTAAGACCAGCACTGCTCTTTCTGTTGCTTTTCACAAGGATGTTTCTCCTGATTCCTTCTGGATGTGAGTTGCTGTCCTGTCAAACTCCCAAACACTTTCTAAGGATATTTTCACGTTTTTTGTTTGATTGTTTTGAGACAGAGCCTCACTCCGTCACCCAAGCTGGAATGCAGTGGCACACGTGATCTTGGCTCACTGCAGCCTCCCCCTCCCAGGTTCAAGTGACTCTCCTGCCTCAGCCTCCTGAGTAGCTGGGATTACAGGCATGGTGGGTGCACTCAGGGCCATGTGTGTGCAGGAGTGTGCACAGGTGTGGCAGGTGTGCTAGGCCACCCTGGTTTCTCTCTGTCTCCTCTGGGCTTCCAGCACGCTTTTGTGCTGATGGGATCTGCTGGTGAATATGAGGCCAGGAGGAGGGGAAAGGACGTGAAGCCCATTGGAACAGACCTGCCATGGCCACTGTTGTTGCTGCTTCAATGAGAGGGATTCGAGCAGGTCAGTCCCGTCTGTGATGCCCCGAGACTTCTGGAAGAGCCGAGGGAGATCCTCCAGGTCCAGGTCCAGAGCCTGGAGCCCCCTTGTGGGCCCAGGGAGGCTGCCTGGGTCTGGAATCTGGATCTTTGGGGGAAGATTTAGGTGTGCGCTGTGCAGCTTCTGGCTCAGGTGGGTCTGCTCTGGGCAGGAAGGTGCCCCAGGTGGGAGGGGGACAGACGCTGGAGCTTCATCCCCCGGCAAGCTCATTTCCTTCTGTTTCTGCACTGAAGTGTAGTCGGTGTTGGCTCTGCTGTTTTCTACCTGCTGGGGGTGGGTGGGAAGGACCCCAGGGTGGGCAGGGTAGCACCATGTCCCAGGAGTTCCCTCAGAGATGTTGGTGACTCCCTCATGGTAGCAGAAGGGCCTGCAGGCTCTGTGCCAGCCCCATGGAGAACTTGAGTGACATGGCTGTGATGCACGGAACTGGCGAGTGAAAGACGCAAAGGTGCATTCCTCGGGCCCTGCTTGCTATTAAAGGAGGAACTGTGGCCAGATGAGGTGGCTCACGCTTGTAATCCCAGTGCTTTGGGAGGCTGAGGTGGGAAGATCACGAGGTCAGGCGTTGGAGACCAGCCAGGTCAACACACTGAAGACTTGTCTCTACTAAAACTATAAAAAGTAGCTGGGTGTGGTGGCGGGCACCTGTAGTCCCAGCTACTTGGGAGGCTGAGGCAGGAGAATCGCCTGAATCTGGGAGAAGGAGGTTGCAGTGAGCCGAGATCGTGCCACTGCTCTCCAGCCTGGGTGACAGAAGTAGACTCTGTCTCAAAAAAAAAGAGAAACAGGACGGAGGAGCTGTGTGGGTGATTCATGTCTGCAAAAAATACCTTCGATTGCATTCCTTTTGCTTTTAAATATTTCATAGTTTTTCTACAGTAAACACCTGCTATTTTGGTAATAAGAAAAGAAAATGGGGCATGTTTATCTTGGGTGACAATAAGCGTTGTTGGGGAGATACCGGGAAAGGCAGCGGGCAGCTGAACCTGATGGGGCTCCGCTGTGGGTGTCCCAGCTCCCACACAGGGAGGTCTGTGGGACATGAGGGCCAGCAGTTGTGATGTCTGTTTAGCTGCTTGAGAACTAAAAAAAAAAAAAAAGCAGTGCCAGGCATGGTGGCTCACTCCTGTAATCCTAGCACTTTGGGAGGCTGAGGAGGGCAGATCACGATGTCAGGAGTTCAAGACCAGACTGGCCAACTGGCCAATATGGCAAAACCCTGTCTCTACTAAATGTACAAAAATTAGCTGGGCATGGCAGTGTGCACCTGTAGTCCCAGCGACTCGGAAAGCTGAGGCAGAAGAATCGTTTGAACCCGGGAGGCAAGGCTACAGTGAGCCAAGGTCACACCACTGCACTCCAGCCTGGGCGACAGAGTGAGACTCTATCTCAAAAAAAAAAAAAAAAAAAAAAAAGGCAGTTCACAGGCTCTGCATGAGCCAGGCTGAGGTTCTGGAAAGCAGGCTCTGTTATCATCTCCGTGTTCTTTCCAAAGCATCCGGCACAACCGGTTATGGCTTTGTTTTGCCTTGTTGATTCTGGAAGTTCTTAGCTGTTATTTTCTGGATAAGAGGAGCAGTTTGCAGACCCAGGTGCACATGTTGGTCTTTGGTGGAGGATGCCAGGCGCTTCCTGGCAGCCTCGCCCTGGGAGAAGCACCTGAGCCCCATGGCGGGGCCTCTGGCTGCCATGACTGAGCGTCGGGGCCACCCCAGGAGCCCACCCCTCTGCTGTGTCTCTCCTGCCTGGTAAGCGGTGATGAGGTGAGGGCGCATCCGGCCGATGCGCAGAGCCGGGGTTTGCAGCACTGCTTCTCCCACAGCCCTTGACAAGACGCCAGCAAGGACTGTCTGTCCCAGCCAGGTCCGTCACTCTGCCGCCCTCTGTTGCCAGTGGAGAGGCCTGGCAGGTCCCACAGCCTGGGTCTTGCAGATAGCACCAATGAAGGCCACTGGCCACCACCCACTATTGTCACCTGTCACACAGCAGCAGTCCCGTGGCTCCTCCCACAAGGACCTTTACGTTCTGTCAAAGGCCAAGCTTCCTAGGCTTCCTGCCTGTGTCCAGGTTTTCTGTTGCTGAGATCTGAGGCGGTCCCTCTCAGAAGCAGTGCCAGCCACTGACAGGATGAGCAGGTCACCCAGGTGCGCGTCCCTGGGGCTTGCTTGGTGTGTGGAGGGTGGGGCAGGCTCCCTGTACCTGCAGTGTGGCTGATGGGGCATGCCGTCCTGTTTAGCTGAGAATTTGGGGTTGTAGGGCTGAGGGCCCCACAGGGTCATGGGGTGTCCCTTATGCTGTGCTGAGGCACAGGATCTGAGAAATAAAGAGACAGGACACAGAAGTACAAGGAGAACACAGCTGGGCTCAGGGAGGCCATGCCACCTATAAGCAGAGTCAGGCAAAGCCCCGAATGTCCAGAAGTGTGTATATTTATTGTGTATAGGTTAGGGGGCAGGACAGTGAGTGAAGTCATCTCTAAGGATAGTGATAGGGTCGTGAACAATAAAACAAGGGGTCCACCCCCATTAGGTCACCTAGGCTAGGAGGTGGACAGTGCGCAGCAAGAGGCCCATTCCCATGAAGGCAAGGGCCATGTGCAGTAAGGGGTCCACCCCCATTAGGTCACCGAGGCTTGAAGGTGGGCTGTGCGCAGTGAAGAGGGTGCAGTGCGCAATACCTCTATCTATGGGCAAGCTACTTCTAAGGATATCTATAGGAGGATGCTTAAGTCCACAGCAGTGACAGAGCTGCCAGGGTTACTGCCACCTGCTGGCAGCTTCCAGTGGGTTCTATGGGGGAATGCTTTTTGAGCAGCACGGTAACAAGAGCTGATAAGTTCACAGTCACCAAGGTGCGATTATCCAGAGGGGTTTTGAGCCCTCAGATGCTTGAGGGATTGGCGGTCTGAGGGCAGCCCTCCCCAAGAACTGGAGCAAGGTCCTACAACTCCTTCATCAGGAGGAGTGGCTCTTGCCCTAAGCCTGCCATAGAGCGGGTATCTTTCCGATACTGAACGCTGCCGCCTGGGCCATGGATTCTTGTCCTGGTGTAACTGTTTTCCCTTAAATCATGCTCTGCACCGTGTCTGCTCCAGACATTCCTCCGACTATAAGCTGCTTATTCCTTAATTCATGCTCTGTACTGTGTCTACTCCAGGCACTCCTCCGACTATGAACTGAGATATAGTTATATATATGTATAGGGGAATGACTGAGGGGTAAAATTTTCCTTAGGCACTCTGTGAACTGACATGATTACATACAGAGGATTATATAAAGGGAAATAACTGAGTAGTAACACTATAAACAGATGTTTTCCAAGCCCTAATTCTGTAAACTAATATATGAGTATATAAATGATTATATAAAAGGAAATAACAGATACTCTTCAGGCCTCAATTGTGCCACGATTCTGCTTAGCTCTCCTTCCTTGGTACCTGGATGGGGGGTTACCCACAGGGGTCAGCGGGCTTAGCAGCAGGGTGTGGCCAAGTGCCGTGTCTTCTTCGGGACAGAAGCGTGAGTTTGTTTCCCTAAGAAGGGTTTATGTGGAGAGTGGTACCGGAGGCCTGTGTGCTGCTGGCTTGGTGGCGCACAGGCAGGCAGACGTGAGTGGGGACCGCTGGGCAGTACCTCCCATTTTCCATGTCTGTTGCTTCTGAGCAGAGCCTGGGTGTGGGGATGCAGGCAGGAGGGCTTCACTCTGGCAGGCTGCACCTTGGGAGCTTGACCCACATGGATGGAAGGTGCATCTGTTTGTCAAAATTCATCAAAATGTTCAAACCTTGGATCTTTACATTTTCTGCTTTGTAAGTTACAGCTCAGTAAAAAATGATAGCAAAAAGGGCACCCACTCTTTGGCCCAGCAGTTCTACTTCTGGGAATTTCTCTTGTAGGTCGAGTTGAACAAAAAAAGTGTAAATGCACTCAGATGTGTATTGCCAGTGTTACCTTGAGCCAGTGCAGTACCAGCTAACGAGCAGGCGAGGGGGCTGGGCCTGAGCCCAGGGTGTGCAGGTGGGAGCAGTGCCCGGGCCCCGACCCTGCCCGAGAGGTGGGAGTGGCACCGTGGACACGTCCGCAGACGCTGAGGAAACTGACTGTCCAGAGTGGCTCCTGGAGGGGTGTAGAGCCAGGGAGAGCTTGTCCTGATTCATCCTCTAGAGCACTTGCTTACGAGTTTTTTTTGTTTTTTTTTCCTGAGACGGAGTCTTGCTCTGTCTCCAGGCTGGAGCGTAATGGTGCAATCTCGGCTCACTATAACCTCCACCTCCCAGGTTCAAGTGATTGTCCTGTCTCAGCCTCCCATGTAGCTGGGATTACAGGCATGTGCCATCATACCCAGCTAATTTTTGTATTTTTATTAGAAACAAGGTTTCACCATGTTGGCCAGGACGGTCTCGATCTCTTGACCTTGTGATCTGCCCTCCTCAGCCTCCCAAAGTGCTGGGATAACAGGCATGAGCCACCGTGCCCAGCTGAGCTTGCTAGTATTTAAAAAATCAGAGTATGTGTTACAGTTATCATTTTTAGCAAATAGAAGGCAGGGGAAGAGTTTATTTGCCCCTGTGCCCTGGGATACATAGTTGAGCATGCAGTTCGTTAGGTGGGCCCTGATCGCCAAGAGTCTCCTTTTGGTTTCTCACTCTGTGGTGATTTGGGTCCCTGCGGCCTTACCATGACCCATGCTGGAGCAAGCCTTCGTGTCCTCCTGTGCCATCGCCCCTGCCCGTAACCCCCGCCCCTCAGATGTGGCCATCCCAGGAAGGAGGGGCCTGCTCAGGGCAGCAGCCGAGAGGTGTGGCCAGGGCCCCCCAGCCTCACAGCACACTTGGAGCCTGAGCCAGCCGTCAGCCGGGAGGCGGACCTTCTGTTCTCTTTCTAGAGTTTTCAGTGTCATGGGAACAGTGGTGTTTGCCACAGAAAACATAGGTCAGCATAAAAATCACTCCCTCTCCAGCCTTTTAGCATTTGTTTTATGTCCATATAAGCTTCTTCAGTGTAATTCATTGTGTGTTTATATTTTTATTTAAAAAAAATCAGGCTGGGCTGGGCACTGGCTCACACCTCTCATCCCAGCACCGTAGGACATTGAGGCAGGAGGATCACTTGAGGCTGGGAGTTCAAGACCAGCCTGGGCAAGATAGCAAGACCCCATCTCTAAAAAATTTTTTTAAAACTTAGCCAGGTGTGATAGCTCACACCTATAGTCCCAGCCACTCAGGAGGCTGAGGCAGGAGGATTGCCTGGGCTGAGAATATCAAGGCTGCAGTGAGCCATGGTCACACCACTGCATTCCAGCCTGTTTGACGGAGTGAGACCCTGTCCCAAAAAAAAAAAGTGCAGTCTGTGGCGCCTGGGATCTCTGTCCTCACCTCACGTGGGCTGTGCCTGCCTCCTTGGCCAGCACGCACGCTTCTAGATGCACCGCTGCTGTTTCCCATCTGCACGGCACATTTCACTGCCGCTTACTCGGCTGTCCCCTGAGGCTGGACATTTAATGTGTGTCTGGTTTCTCGTTGTTATCAACGCCACTGTGACAGGCATCCTCAGTTATTTCCCAGTCGTGGGCTTGCCTCGCAGGAGGGTGGGCTGTGTTGTGCGCTTTGGTGACCCACTCCCCAGTCTCCCCCTCCCCCAGCAGCAAATCATCCCCCCCAGTCCCTGTGCCCCACACTACAGGGTTAACCCCTGGGTGTGCATTCGTTTATTCTCAAACTTATGATTTATCACCCACCAGACTGACTTGGCCATCTCTGTCCTCGAAGGGCTTCCCACAAGAAGAGGTGCCCTTCCTGAGCTGCTACTCCATCCCAAGCAAGGCCTTCACCCTAGGAGCTTAGTAATTTCAGTCTTGTTCTAAACAGGACCTGGGGCTACGCTTGAGTCTTCCAGAAATTGAAAGATGATTCTAAGAGGCTCTAAAGACCCTGATTTTCAGGTGGAGAGCGCCCTCTTCCTTCAGCCTCAGCCACGCTTTCCTCCCTGCCCTGTGTGGGACAGGCTCTTCTGTGAAGGTTTTGTCAGCCTAGGAGTGGGGTGGATCCCAGCTCATTGGCTGGATCTGGTTGAAGAACTGTAGGGTGGGAGTGGACAGTGGCGAGAGGCGGGTTTAGGGCTCCGTTCTGCCCAGCGGGGCTCTGAGTGTGAGCAGTGTGCTCCCCTATGCTGCTGGAGAGCCACGACTGTCACTGCTGCGATATTTAGGGCAGGCAGAAACAGCCCAAAGCTGAGCTCCAAGTAATTGGTCTCTAAGGGACGTGGCAGGAAGTCCCCGTGGCAAATCCTGCTCTGTCTGTAGCTGGGGGAGCTTCACAGAAACTGTCCTGGGGTGACTGGCATTCTGGTTTCCAAGTTTTAGGTTGGAAAACTCAGAAATGCCCCACTCAGCTCTGTCCTGAGTACGCCCAGGGGGAGTTCACTGATGGACTGGCCGAGGGGATATTTAGCTTCCACAGCTGCAGCTGCAGGCCTCATGTCCCCCAGCCGCCAGGACCCCTCATCTGCCTGCCCAGGCTGATGCCTCCAGGAGAGGAAGGGGAGGCAGCGTTGATGACACCATGGAAGGCGTGCACCCTTCTGCTGCTGTCCTTGCCGGGTGAGGGCAGGGTGGGAGGCAGGGCTGTGTGGAGGGCACCACCTGTCTGCCCAACCACCAGGTCCTAAGCATCCTTGGCCCTGCCCGGGAGCCACGTCCCCTACACCTGAGCACCCCTGGGCCTGGGCTGGTCGTGCGTGTCGGTGACCTCTGCACCCCTGCTGATCCCCCAAGTCTCTGTTGCAGGGGATCCTCCTGGTGTATGACATCACGAACCGCTGGTCCTTTGACGGCATTGACCGCTGGATCAAGGAGATCGACGAGGTAGGCCTGGGTTGGGGGAGCCCTCCTGGGGAAGGCAGGCTGGATGGAGGTGCCTGGGCCCCAGGGAGGCTCTGTATTCACGCCTGCTGCCCCTCCTGTGGCCCCAGCTCTGAGCCCTTCACTGCCCCACAGCCTGCGCCTGCGCATGCTGGTCACTGTGCACTCGACAGCCGGGTACTGGCCAGGGGCTCTGGGGCCACCCATAAGGGCCTGTACTGTGGGGCCTGAGCCCTGGGCTCTGCCCGCCTCGACCTCCCACGGCCCCCACCCCATCTGTCCCAACAGTGAGGGCCCTGCCACGGCTGAGGGGTGGGTGGCGCCCTGCGTTCGTGCCTCTGCTGAGTTCTGTGCCCCCAGCATGCGCCCGGAGTGCCCCGGATCTTGGTTGGAAACCGGCTGCACCTGGCCTTCAAGCGCCAAGTCCCGACGGAGCAGGCCCGCGCCTACGCGGAGAAGAACTGCATGACCTTCTTCGAGGTCAGCCCTCTGTGCAACTTCAACGTCATTGAGTCCTTCACGGAGCTGTCCCGCATTGTGCTCATGCGGCACGGCATGGAGAAGATCTGGAGGCCCAACCGAGGTGGGTGGGCGGGGAGCCCTGGGCTGCGGAGGCTGGTGGTGGGGGGGGCAGTGAGGCCCCGTGAGTGAGGTTCAGGCGGGTCCCTTGGCCACACGCAGTAGGGAGTTGGCTGGCGGCAGGGCAGTGACTTGGTAAGAGCAGCCGTGGGGCAGAGGCAGCAGCGCCAGCGGGCACCTCTCTCAGGGTGCCGCAGTGGCCTCCGCGCTTTGCTGTGCCTGTGAGGTCCTGGCATTGCTGGTGCAGGCAGTGCGTTCACGCTCCTTCCCTGGTTCCGGGGCTGGTATCCTCCCTTCAGAGGAGTACAGGGGCCATTCCTGCAGCCTTGTGTTGTTTCGTCTGCTTTTCTGGCAGGCCACGTCCTTGATCAGAGGCCCCAGAGAAACCTCCTCAGGGAGGTGGTACTGCTGTTCTCGTAGTGCTTCCCCGAAGGGTTCGCTGCTGGGCAGACAGAGAGTGGCTGACAGTGTCAGTGTCCCTCTTAAGAGGAAGCTCAGGCCGGGCTCTGTGGCTCATGCCTGTCATCCCAGCACTTTGGGAGGCCATGCAGGTCGATCACCTGAGGTCAGGAGTTCAAGACCAGCGTGGCCAGCATGGCAAAACCCTATCTCTACTAAAAATACAAAAATTAACTGGGCGTGGCCGGGCATGGTGGCTCACGCCTGTAATCCAAGCACTTTGGAGGCCAAGGCGGGCGAATCACCTGAGGTCGGGGGTTCAAGACCAGCCTGACCAACATGGTGAAACCTTGTCTTAAAAAATAATTAATTAATTAATTAATTAATTAACTGGGCGTGGTGGCGCGTGCCTGTAGTTCCAGCTACTTGGGAGGCTGAGGTAGGAGAATTGCTTGAACCCGGGAGGTGGAGGTTGCGGTGAGCCGAGATCATACCACTCCACTCCAGCCTGGACCAAAGAGTGAGACCCTGTCTCAAAAAACAAAAAGAGCAAACACGGGGAGCCGTGAAGAGCCGAGTTGTACCCTGGGCCATCATAACCCAGCCCCCATCCCTACGGAGCTCCTCTCCCCAGCTCTGCAGACTTGAGCTGGTCACAGTAAAGCCAGATTGATTCAGAACCCAACCAGAGGTACAGAAGAGCCTCCAGAGCAGGTCGGCTTGAAGGGTCAGCTCATGCAGCCCTCACACTGGGAGCTGCGGGGTCCAGGCCAGGAGCTGGGCAGAGCAGCCTCTGGAACCCCACTGCAGCACCCCCAGCATGCCTGGCTTTAGCAAGCAAGGCAGGGGACAGGGTGCCCGTGGACACATCTGTGCTGGGCAGAGAGGTGTGTGCGTCTGGGTGCTCCAGGAGCCCAGTCCTGGGGACAACGCTAGGCATCCCTTGGGTGCCTTGCATCTCCCTGCTCGGGAACTCCCCACCACAGCCCCATGGTCTGACGCTCCCCCTGCCCTGCAGTGTTCAGCCTGCAGGACCTCTGCTGCCGGGCCATCGTCTCCTGCACCCCCGTGCACCTCATCGACAAGCTTCCACTGCCTGTCACCATCAAGAGCCACCTCAAGTCCTTCTCGATGGCCAACGGCATGAACGCGGTCATGATGCACGGCCGCTCCTACTCCCTGGCCAGTGGGGCTGGGGGCAGCGGCAGCAAGGGGAACAGCCTCAAGAGGTCCAAGTCCATCCGCCCGCCCCAGAGCCCCCCGCAGAACTGCTCACGGAGCAACTGCAAGATCTCCTAGCAGAGATGGGTGGGCCGCCTGTGCAGATGCTGGGAGGGCTCAAGGTGGACACTCCCGCAGCGACGCCGGGCCAGTGCTGCCTGTGTGAAGACTGGCCACAGAGCTGCCTCAGAAGCACTAGGCTTTCCCCGCACCTGAGCCGGGTGTGGGGAGGAGCACGCACGGAGCACGTGTGGCAGGTGGGAGGAGGGGACGCGGCTGGGCTGCTGGTGCTTCTGGGAATCTTGGTCTGAAACAAGCTGGGCCTCTCCGACTGCCTGAGCTCGGCCGGTGGAGAGCCTGACTTGCCTTTCTTATTTATATACAGAACACTCCACCCTTTTTGTACATTTTCAAGGGGCCTTCAGGGAAGCCTGCGTGTGTCCCTGTGGTGCACTGGTGACTTCATGGCCACACCAGCCATGGGGACACACTTGGGACGCCTCAGGAGGGGATTTGTGACAGTGATGGGAAGGAGTCGCCCTGTGAATCCACGCACTGCGATTGGCAGGGCTGCTCAGAGGCTGGCGGAGCAGACGGGGTCGGTGCTCCCTCTGGAAGCTTGGGTGACCTCGGCCCTGGCTCCCATGGGCTCCGACCTCAGTGGTCACCGTGCTGGCAGTGGATGGAGGGTGTGGCCCTGTGGTCAGAGCCCAAGCAACACTCAGGAGAGGGGAGAAGTGAGGTGCGCCTGGGAGCACATACTGTTTTTGCTCCCCAAATCCCTTCTTCCTACATGGGGCTGAGAACCTTTGATGTGACACCTTTGGGGACGTTTACCACTCAAAACTCAGATCAGTATCTCTCCCACCCTGGAGAGTGCAGAGCTATCTGTGGACTTACAAATACTTGACCGGCCGCAGCCCACCTGCCTCTGGTGGCATCTGGACCCCTGCACCTGAGTGTAGTCTCCTGTTCTTGGCAGCTTCTGTCGCTGGCTCTGGTGTCCCCACAGCTGCTGCTCTCCTGTGAGGTCACCCGGTGTCGGGACCATCCTGACCTGCTTCTTAGGGACGCGCCTGGAACTGCCTTGGCCATGTCCGTGTGGGGGCCTCAGGCCAGGCCCCTCCTCAAAGCCCCACCAGCCCGGCGCTGCTGCCGAGCCCCAGGCATGCAGGGCCGGCCACTGCTCTTCTGAAGCCATTGGCTGCTCCTCCGCCCAGTGCTTCTGCCACACCTGCCCCCAGTGGCCCCTCTGCAGGGTTGCAGTCGCCTGGGACTGCCCTCCCCACCCCTGCACACACCCGCAGCACCGGTGCTCACCTCTACCTCCTGCCCTCAGGCCGCACAGCATGGCATGGCTAACACGCAGAAGGAGCCCTCCGGGGGCCCAGGGCCCCCTCAGCTGGGACTCCACGGCGCATGCTTCCCAAGATGGCCCCACGGAGGGTGCACCGGGCACCAGTGGACTTGAAGCTGCATGGCCCATTCCTGGGAGATGCAGGCCAGGGCCTGTGTGAGCTGCCAGATGAGTAAGGGAAGCCTGGCCTCCTGATCCAGTGTCCCTGTCCCCCCCGTCCCCCCGTCCTGTTCTGCCAGCAGGACCCGTGTTTGGGATTATGAACAAGACCTAGACGGGCCGCCATTCACGGTATCAACACTACCCTCACTGCTGTTAGACACTCGCACTGTTCCTGTTCTTTCCGAACCGTTCGTTCTTTGTACAGTAAATGTCAGATTCAGCTGTGGTCCCCACACTGTGTTCTGTGTATGGGGGAGTGGGTCTTGGCAGTGGCGGTGCCCCGTGCCAGGGGCTGGTGCTGCTTTGTACCTGGCAAACTGACCCCTGGCCTTTGCTTTGCCTCTGTTCCCTCCGCTGACGGCCGACCTGCAGCTGTGAGTTGGGTTCACCTCGAAGTGAGGGCTGGAGCTGGGCTGGAGCGGCCGGGCCTGGTCACGGCCGTTCTGCACTTCCTGGTGGTCTGGGCCCCAGCTGGGTTGTGCTGAGCCCTCACTCACAGCCCCCAGCCGCAGCCTGGGGCAGACTGTCCCTAACAGCAGCAGGGACCCCAAAGGCCAGGCCCTGCAGTCATTCAGCCCCCTCAGCAAGAGAGCCGCCTGCACACTGGCCATGTTGGGCTGCCTGCCGTGCCCAGCCCAGGGATGGGTGGACACCCCGGAGGTCACAGCTGACCCGGAACGGGACACTCCAGTCGGGACAGGGACCACAGCCTCTGGCTCAGGCCCCTACCTGTGCTGTTCCGGGGGCACATCCAGGCCTTAAGCCCCTCCCGGGCAGCTCCAGCAGGGAGCGCTGTTTCGGATCTGGCCCAGCTGCCCCACCCCGCGCTGTCAGGGCCCACCCCACATACCCTTGTAGAGCAGGGACTGTGGCGCCTGGAGGCTGTCTGGGACTCATTCTGACCAGACGAGGCTCCTATTACCCTGCCTCACGGGTCAGAGGTCAGACGCAGGGTCGTCGGGACATTTTCCATCCAGTGTCGGAGAAAACCACTCCCTGGGGCCCCAGACTTCTGCAGTCACAGAGGGTTTGGAAGGGCAGATTCCAGGCGGCCCTTTGTCCTGCTGCGCCAGTCAGGCTGGCCCCCTGCCCTCCCGACCAGGAGGAGCCAGCCTTGGGGGGATGTGTGCCCGCTGGTGGGGGGTGGAGGTGGGAACTGCGGCAGGCTAGGCTTCAGTGCCTGCTCTTTTCAGCTGCAGACGCCCTTGGACTTGGCCTTCCTTCAGGTGGCGCCGTCCCACGCCAAGCTACGTCCAGGGCTGCAGTGCGTGGGCTGAAGCTCTAGCGTCAGCGTGTGGGGGTGCTCTTGTGTTTGTGGGTGGCCGCAGGCCTCTTCCTGCTGCACCTGCCCGGCCTTGTGGTTGGGCCTGAGCCCCAAGCCCTCAGCCTGGTTTCAGGGATGGGGTATCTGGGAACGCAGTCCTGTCGTGTCAGGCCCCACCCCACCAGGGGTGGCAGAGCAGAGGAGGCGGGGCTGCGCTGGGAGTCCTGCAGGCCCCTGGGCCCCTAACATAGCCGTGGAGGAAGAAACCTCCCAGGAGCAGAGTGGTGCCCCCGGCCCGACCTAGACACACGTGACCATTGCCAGCCTGGACCTGCCTTGAGACACCCAGGCTGTGGTCAGCCATGCACTGCAGGGCGGTACTGCGCCTGCCACCCCCACAGCACAGGAGCCTGGGGTCCAGAGGGCATTGGGGACAAAAGCTGGGATTGCTGGCCCTGCCCCCACCCTCCGGAGGGTCGTCAAGGAGACTGATCCCAGTCCTGGGTGTGTAGGAAGGGGCTCAGATTACAGGGTCCCTCCCCTCCCCCTCTCGGGCCAGAGCCAGCCCTTCTCCGCCCCCGGTGACCCTCATGGCCAGTGGCTCTGTGCTCCTGGGCCTCTGGCCCCTCCCCAACCTCCTCCCCTCTACCCTGTGCTGACCGGGGCCTGGAAGCCCCCACACGGTTCAGACAGAGGGGCCAGGCTAAAACTGGAGAGGAGCCAGTACTGCACTGACGGCCTCTGAGAACCTGGGAGACCCAGCAGGGCTTTGGCCTCGGGTGAAAGGGAGCCTGGGGGTCCTTGTGGGGGCGCCGACCACAGGCACGGAGGGTGGATGCCTGCAGGACGTTGGGCTCAGAGGAGCCCGAGGGGCTGGTGGCCACACCCCCCTGCCCCCTGGCTCGGCGGCCCCCATGCCCACCCCACGGCCACTCCTGCCTCTCCTGCTCCTCTTCCAGCTGACCTTGGGGGCCGGCTTGCTGCCAGGGCCGGGGGGCCACCCGGGTGTGTGCCCCAACCAGCTCAGCCCCAACCTGTGGGTGGACGCCCAGAGCACCTGTGAGCGTGAGTGCAGCAAGGACCAGGTGAGCGCAGTTGGGCTGGGGTCCCGGGGCTTGGGGCAGCCAGCCTGGGAGAGATCCCACCAGACAGGCCCAGAGACAACCCCATTGCTGCCCTCATTTGTCTCAGCAATGAGGGCCCCTCCCCGCGCCAGCTCTCACACACCCCACATGCCTCCCCTTCACCCTGGGCACCACCCTCCTTTAGCGACCGGCCTCGTCACTGCCTCTCCTCCCATCTGGGACCAGTGCAGACACTGGTGGGGGTGCTGCAGCCCATAATCAGCCTTTGGCCTGGCCTGCACTGCCTGCTGGGTGGCCCTGAGCACTATGCGCCCTCCTTGGGCCTCAGTTTCCTCGTCTGTGCAATGTAAACAACGGAACTTGCTTGGGGGTGTGAGGATTCCGGAAGGTGAAGCAATGTGGCGCCTCTGGCGCTGCGGCTCCTCCCACGGGATGGAAAGGACCCTGAGTCCCCCGAGAGGCAGTCCTGGTGGCAGCCACAGAGCACGGGCCTCCCCACACAGGGGCCAGGCCGGAGCCCCCGGGGCCAGAGGGCATCAGGGCTCCCACCTAAGCGTCCTCCATCCCCAGGACTGTGCGGCCGCCGAGAAGTGCTGCAGCAACGTGTGCGGCCTGCAGAGCTGCGTGGCAGCGCGCTTCCCGGACAGCCCAGCCGCGCCCACCACCATGGCGGCCTCCTGCGAGGGCTTCGTGTGCCCACAGCAGGGTTCCGACTGTGACATCTGGGACGGGCAGCCGGTGTGCCGCTGTCGCGACCGCTGTGAGAAGGAGCCCAGCTTCACCTGCGCCTCGGACGGCCTCACCTACTACAACCGCTGCTACATGGACGCCGAGGCCTGCCTGCGGGGCCTGCGTCTGCACGTGGTGCCTTGTAAGCACGTGCTCAGCTGGCCGCCCAGCAGCCCGGGGCCGCCGGAGACCACCGCCCGCCCCACGCCGGGGGCCGCACCCGTGCCTCCCGCCCTGTACAGCAGCCCCTCCCCGCAGGCGGTGCAGGTGGGGGGCACGGCCAGCCTCCACTGCGACGTCAGCGGCCGCCCGCCACCTGCCGTGACCTGGGAGAAGCAGAGTCACCAGCGGGAGAACCTGATCATGCGTCCCGACCAGATGTACGGCAACGTGGTGGTCACCAGCATCGGGCAGCTGGTGCTCTACAACGCGCGGCCCGAAGATGCCGGCCTGTACACCTGCACCGCGCGCAACGCCGCAGGCCTGCTGCGGGCAGACTTCCCGCTTTCTGTGGTCCAGCGAGAGCCGGCCAGGGACAGGGCCCCCAGCGTCCCAGCCCCCACTGAGTGCCTGCCAGACATGCAGACCTGCACAGGCCCCGCCTCCCCCTCCCCTGCCTCCCCACACCTTGTCCTCTGGCACTTTGACCCGCAGCGGGGTGGCTGCATGACCTTCCCTGCCGGTGGCTGTGACGGGGCAGCCCGGGGCTTCGAGACCTACGAGGCATGCCAGCAGGCCTGTGCCCGCGGCCCTGGCGACGCCTGTGTGCTGCCTGCCGTGCAGGGCCCCTGCCAGGGCTGGGAACCGCGCTGGGCCTACAGCCCGCTGCTGCAGCAGTGCCACCCCTTCATGTACGGCGGCTGTGACGGCAATGGTAACAACTTCCACAGCCGTGAGAGCTGTGAGGACGCCTGCCCCGTGCCCCGCACGCCACCCTGCCGCGCCTGCCGCCTCCGGAGCAAGCTGGCACTGAGCCTGTGCCGCAGCGACTTCGCCATTGTGGGGCGGCTCACGGAGGTGCTGGAGGAGCCCGAGGTGGCCAGTGGCATCGCCCGCGTGGCGCTGGAGGATGTGCTCAAGGATGACAAGATGGGCCTCAAGTTCTTGGGCACCAAGTACCTGGAGGTGACACTGAGTGGCATGGACTGGGCCTGCCCCTGCCCCAACATGACAGCAGGCGATGAGCCACTGGTCATCATGGGCGAGGTGCGCGATGGCGTGGCTGTGCTGGACGCCAGCAGCTACGTCCGCGCTGCCAGCGAGAAGCGCGTCAAGAAGATCTTGGAGCTTCTGGAGAAGCAGGCCTGTGAGCTGCTCAGCCGCTTCCAGGACTAGCCCCCACAATGGGCCTTCGCCGCCTGATGTCCTGGTGAATAAACGCACTCCCCGTACCCCAGACCTCCTGGCTTGCTGCTGCTGGTCGGGCGGCCCTCACCCTTCCAGGTGCCCCATCCCCAGCCAGTTTCCAGCTGAGGCCTTGGCACCCACTGGGGCTTTGGTACAAGGTCACCCGGGAGCACCAGCCCACTCTTGCATCCTTCAACCAGCTCCATCCTGACTCAGCAGCCATCCCGGCCCCACGCCCACTGCCCGAGCTCCAGCAGCAAGGACCAGGATGTCCCAGGCCCTTGACCCCAGAGGAAACCCCGTCTCCCACCCACCCTCACGAGGTACTCCTAGGAGAAGGCGGGGTGGACACCAGCAACCCAGCAGCAGGATGTGCTTTATTCTGAGCAGGCTGGACCCTTCAGCTACCAGCTGAGAGCACAGACTGGGTGGGGCTGTTGCCCACAAGACCCGGCTTAGGGAGTTAGGGTTTGTGCCCCACAGAGCCTTTGGCAGCGGGGATACAGGTATGCGGGGTGAAGGGGGGGGCTTCATTTTTCCGGAAGATCAGGCACTTGTTGTTGGCTGGCATGTCCACCTGGAGAAACACTTTGCTGGGGGACAGTCCTTAATCCCCAGAGAGGCTGCCTGGGCCCCCACTTCCCCACCTACCATCCTCTCCAGGAACAGGCCACTGGCCTGTCCCAGGTCCTCCAGGAGGGCTGTGTCCCGAAGCCCCCACTCCGGGTTCCTGCATAGCGGGGGAGACGCAGTCATTACCTGGGGGGTGCCACCCAGCCTGCCTGCTCCCTGAGCCAGACCCGGGGCCACTAGCTCTGACCTGCATCTCAGCATCAGGTCAAAGTCCACGTTGCTCTGGGGAGAGATCTTCCCATTGATGGCATAGGGCTGTGGGGAAGGGGACACAGCCTACTGGACCAAGGTCTGCTATTCCCAGTGAGCTCGGGACACACTTGCAGGCTGGGGTCTGGAGAAGGAAATGGGCACTCCCTCCCTGTCCCCAAGAGGGAGGCAGCCAAGGCCAGGCTGGTGGGCAAGGTGGTAGGGGGACTGGCAGCTGACCTGGGAGGGGTGCAGAGTGGAAGTGGAGGGGAGACCATGCTGGTGGCTGGTGGGGGGCAGGGCGTCCAGGAGGGAGGAATCTGAGTAGGGCAGGAGAGCAGCTGTGACTGTGAGGGGCAGGCCCACTCACCCCATAGGTGATGAGCAGGCCCTTGGGTTTGAGCAGGTGTCCTGCTGCTCTGAAGAGCCCCTGGGGAGTAGGGGACAGGATGGCAGTGAGGCGCTGCCCCAAAACAAACCAGTCCCTGAGGCTGGAGACCCTCACCCGACTGTGATGGGGGTGAATCTGGCATCCCCGATGCAGGGTGAGGGGCACCTGGGCAGAGACCCTTGTGGGGGGGCGCCCACAGACCTCCGTGCAGCGCAGGGGGCTAATGTGGGCCATGTTGATGCAGAGCAGCAGGTCCAGCGACTTCGGCAGGATCCCGCCCCAGTGCTCCCAGCTCCACGTCACGTCCAGGTGCAGCGGGGCCTTCACGTTGGTCAGACCCTGGGCTTGCGTGGTGGCCGCGATGCTGCGGGAGGGGAGCGCCTGGGTGGGGGCCGAGTCCTGCCCACCCGCCTTTCCGACACCGAACAGGCATTCTTAGGGGAGGCTGGGGGTCGTGTTGCGGAGCGCAGACCCAAAGCAGCCGGGAAGGGGGACCCCGAGGCCCACCCACTTCCGCAGCCGCGGGGGCTGCACAGCTGGGGTCTGCCCCGCCGGCACCCCCAGGCTCCCATCCCGCACCCTCGGAGCCCGGGGCCCGCCGCACCCATCGGAGTGGCCGCAGGGGAGGCTCTCGGGGCGCCCCGGGCGCTGCACCTGTCCAGGCAGCGCTGGTCCACGTCCGACGGCTGCCACTCCGCCAGGGGGAAGGCCCGAGCGAAGTGCGCCGCGTGCTGGCCGGAGCCCGAAGCCACCTCGAGCACGCGGACGCCGCGCTGGGCCGGGTCCAGGTACTGCCGCAGCACGTGCAGGATGGGCTCCTTGTTTCGCTCCGCGGCCGCCGCCACCAGCATCGCGGCCGCAGGTCCTCCCCGCCGCGACCCAGCGCGCGGTACGTCGGGAGCTGTAGTCCGGATGCCGCGGGGCGCGTCGGGAGCTGTAGTCCGGATGCCGCGGGGCGCGTCGGGAGCTGTAGTCCGGATGCCGCGGGTCGCGTCGAGAGCTGATAAACTACAACTCCCAGGAGCACGCGCGCCCCCCGGTAAGGGGTCTGCAGCCGCCAGAGGCACGGTGAGGAGCGGCTCAGCGGTGGGTGGCGGCCCCGGCCAGGGCGCTGGACGGCGAACGTGGCTTGCTGGCTTACAGGCGCCTTAGCCAAGGTGCCCAGTAGCTCACGGCCATCCAAGGTTTTTAGGGAACCTGTCGCCCTCTGAAATGTGTGTCAGCTCTGCGCCGAACTGGGCGCCTTCACTTGGTTTCGGGTTTTCTCTCCTTTCAAGATCTCTGGCGTTGGCGAGAGTTTGTTTTTTAGAGAAAAAAAAAAAAAAAAAAAAAAATACCGCAAAATGAACGTGCGCCGCCCGGGAATCGAACCCGGGTCGCAAGAATGGGAATCTTGCATGATACCACTACACCAGCGGCGCTCTCGAGCGCTCTCCCCGCGCGAGCAGTCAAGACTGTAATGAGGAAGCCCTCCGCGCATGCCCCACCACGAGAGCCGGGGGCGGCGCAAAGGAGCCGGCGACCGCGTAGGACCTAGCCGGCGGGGCCGCGCGGTGGGAGTCCCGCGGTGCCCTCCAGTGCCCGAGGAGAAGCAGCGAACGTGAGGGACGCGGGCTGCAGGACACCCTCGATTCGGGCCTGAGCCTAGGAAACCGTCGACCTTCGTGAGTGGATGGGGGCGGGGCCCTGTCGGGGCGGGGCCGGGGCCAGGGTTAGGGCGGGGTTGCCGGGGGGCGGGGCCATATCGGGGCGCCTCCGAGAGAAGGCGGGGCTACGGGGTGGGGCGAGACGTGAGCGGGGACGGCCCACTTGGGGCCGGGCCAGGGCGGGGGGTGTGGCAGGGGGCGGGGCCAGCCGGCGGGAATTCAGCGGTCTGCGGGATGGGCACCAACGATGCCCCACGGTTTCTCCGTGACGCTGGGATGACAGCACCAGCTCGGGGCCACGGATAGTGCGAGGGGTCGGTCGGTGACCCCGCCGTCAAGTCAGAGAACGCGATTTGTGTGCGCCCGAGGGTTGGGGTCCAAGGCTCAGAGCTGGGCCCTGCTCCGGAAAGTGCCCAGCGCGTGGCTCCGCAGTCAGGACTGGCTTAGCGCCTTTGCGGGACCGTTGTTCACCAGTGGGAACTCAGTGCTCGACATTGCTCTGGCTAGAGCGAAGCGGTTGGAGGAACAGACCAGGGAGGGCCAGTCATGTGGCTCAGGGCAGGAGGGTGGCTTACGGTCTGCCAGTCTGGGAGTGGGAACGTGGGGAGTCAGGGGTCAGGGGCAGCCCTGCCAGGGGATGTTGGTGGCCAGCGAGGTGGTGACTGGCCAGGCCCTGCAGCAGGCTCTGTGGCCTAAGTCCACCCTTTCCTCACCTGACTGGCCGTCTCTATCCCTCCTCCTGTGGCCTGAGCACTTTCCCTGCGTCTCCTTCAATGAGCACTTTGCCCCCTACACGCTACCTCGAGGGGAGCCCCAGGAGGAGGACCTGTGATGACCAGGGGTTCTCCTAGGGTCGAGGCACCTCTCCCCACCCAGGCTTCACCTGGGCCTCCCCAGGCACAGGAAAGAGGAGCCCGAGATTAGTCTCTCCAGAGCTGCCTTGAGGAGCTGCCCACAGTGCCCAGTTGCCTGACCTCAGGCCGGTGCTCACCTGCAGGCTCATGACTTGGAGCTGCATGCTGGCTAGGCCACACCTGCCCTCGGCACCCCCGGAGCTCAGCAGCCGGAATGGATGTGTCTGAGCAGAGGCCTTGGCTGCAGTGGGTGCATGTGAGCACTGTCTGGGAAGCTGTGGATGCATGTCAGTGGCTGGCAGGGGTCTGGGACCCCCACAAGATACCAAACATGGATCCCTGGAAGGGTCCCCCAGCTCCTGCCACTGCTGGTGTTGTCTCCCTCGGTAGCCGAGGTCAGAGCTGCGGAATCAGCTTCAGCCTGTGGGAAGAAAGTTGCCCAGGTGCCATGGCAAAAGACCGAAGGCACAATCTCTCCCAGCATGATAAATAACTGGTTATTTAGTTATAGCAATGACACCACCAGTTAGACTTAGATACAATCACGTAATCCATTATATACTCTTATTACATTCTTATTCTCTGTTATTAACCTTTGCATTAGTATTACAGTGTAGGAACACTTTTAGCCTTATAGTATAGAAATAATCAGGTGAAATATAAGTGGGAACTGAAGGGGCATTGTCAGAAGTGATCAGAAGGCAAGAGCCTTGAGGTAGCGCCAGCGCCTGGGAAGGCGCCCGATACTTTGCAGGCAGGCCTTGTGTAACGCCAACCAGCGTCTGGGGAGGCGCCCATTACTTACCAGGCGAAGAGGGGGAGTTTCCCTTTCACTGGGTAGTTCACAGAACACTCTGCTTCATCTGGCTCTCGAGGAAGGTCTGACAGTAGCCAGGCCGGCCCGCAGACATCCAGGGGCTTAAACACCTCTCTGTGGTGCTGTGCTCGGACGGTCCCCATCCTTGTCCACCTTCAGGTTCCCCTTTCCCACCCAATGCTCCCTTGTAAATTGTTAGAAGTAAGAATAAAGGAATCCTAAAAGCCTTTGATCTCTCTGATAAGTGCATAGAAAGATACTGACGTATGTGCCTCCCCTCCTTGCAGCGAGTGCTTGAGAGAGGGGCCCCTGTACTGTACCCACGGGCTCCCCATATTGTCAGTATGTGATGTGCTTGACCCTACCAGTCATGTCAGATGAGTCACTCTCCGGCCCTGCCCCCGGCCTTGTATACAGTAAATATCAGCGCGTCCAGGCATTGGGGCCACTGCTGGACGCCTTGCCTTGGTAGCAGTGGTTCCCCCGCCCAGCTGAGTTCTTCTCTTATCTCTGTGTCTTGTGTCTTTCTTCCCTGCAATCTGTCATCTCTGCACACAAAAGAGCACCCACGAGACCCTGCGGGGCCAGACCGGACATCAGCCTCTCCTGAGACTGAATTTGGCTCCCCAGAGCCCCTCTCGAGTGGAAGGGACCGTGACACAGGCCCCCTTTTCTGGTGTGTATTAATCTACACAATAAAATACCAGTGCCCTGAGCGCCTTGCATCCTGGATTCCAGGCTGGGAGCGACACGGAGTCCCGGGCCTGTCCACGCGGCAGTGCCTGCTGGCCCTGGCGCTCACACCCACACCCGCGAAGGGTGGGACCCCTCGCTGTGCCTCCCCCTCCAGGAGCACGCCTGCCCCACCCATCTTGGGGTCTGGCCTACAGAAGGTGATCGGGGGTGCCTAAGGAGGGGCAAATCCCGTCGTGCCTTAGATCCTCAGTCTCCTCAGCCACAGAGGGCTTGGGGGGCCCAGCCCCTCCCCACCCGTCCTCACACTTGCACACGGCCATCCCAGGAATCCAGGCCCATGACATTCAGGTCCAACAGCAGGGTCCAGCTCCTCTCCTGGGGTCCATTCTCTGGACGCCACCCCCTGGGGTCCTGAGCTTCCTTCCTAAGTGCCCTGCAGTCCCCTTCCACCCCCACACCCACTACGACTTCCCTTGTGTCTGAGTTTCTGAGGCTGCTGTAGGAAATGACCCCAGAGCTTGGTGGCTTAAAACAAATATATTTTCTCACAGTTCTGGAGACCAAAAACGCAAGACACAGGTGTCAGCTCCCTCCAAAGGTCCTGTAGGAAAGTCCTTCTGGCCTCTTCCAGCGTCTGGTGGCCCCAGGTGACCCTGGGCTCATGACCACACCACTCCAATCTTCCGTTCTTCACATGGCCTTCTCCTCTGTGTCAGCTGCCGGCCCCCACAACCAGCGTTCTGCCTTCCTCAGCTCCCCTGGCTCCCTGCTGCCCTGAGGACCCCTGGGGTCTCCCCTTGCCCCTTTTTTGCCCACTGCTCCTCCCAAGGAGCCCTTATGAGGGCTGCTGGACCCAACTTTTTTTTTTTTTTTTTTTT